ACTGAACGACACCCTCCGCCCCTCCGGCCCGACAGACCCGCACCCTCGCCCTCTTCCACGCCATCGCCCCTCTCGTTCACCGTCTATATCTCTCGTCCACCTCCCACCTTCGATTCGATTCGCTTCACGCATCGGACATGCGTGTACGTAAATACATATTCCTCTCGCGTATACATTCACTCTGGAATGGAGCACACCGATCGTTTAGACCGATCCTTAACGACAACGAATCGATCGCCCGAATCGTCGAACCTCCTCCGTATCGTGGCATCGCCGGACATTCGGCCCAACTCTCGGCCGGTGCGCGTCTTGCCATCCTCTCGAGCCGGTCGAGCTCCGATATCGGCATCGCGTTTTCGACGACCCGTGGCCGGTACATGCTTTTCGAATCGAGCAATAACTTTCGAAAAACGTTGACGCGTTAAAGGTTTAACCGTGTCCCGCGCGGAGACCGTTTCAGGCTCGGTACGTGACGTCACGCGATACCGAAAGCTTTCTCGGAACGCGATGGATATATACGACCATCCCGAACTGTAAACCCTCGGATGATTCATGACAAAGTTCGCGTTAAAGAGCAGCGATTACGGTTTACGCTCTCTCCGGTTTCGTTCTCGACAAACAAAACGCGAAACGATTACGATGCGACGAATCATCGACGGTGCGTACCGGCTCGGTGGAAAAACACGGCGAGTCGAGACTCGGAGAACTATTCGCTCCTCGATCGATTTCAGTTATTAAACGTTTTCGCGAGAAAGATGCCGCGGACGAGAGAAGAAGGAAGAAAGAAGAAAGAAGAAAGAAGACGTCGAAGAACGTTTCGCGAAAGAGGATACGAAATGCTCGAAACGACAATAGCCGGGACGCCGAGATATCGCAACGAGAGGTTACGCGACGGTCACCGATGAAAGACGATGTTTTGCGTCACCGAATCGTTCTCAGCAATACGATTACACAGAGCTCTTCGATTGCTCTTCGTTGCACGGTAAGTGCGCGCCGCGAAAACAGAGAAACGAAACTCGGATTGCTTGGTGCAGCCGAACGGTGGAAATCGAAATTCGAGCAAAGAACCGAAAGATCCGAAACCGACGATCGCAAACGAACAATGTCCGTAGCAGTCCGTACACGTCGCAACGTAACGTGTTTTTCGCTCTTCGGCTTCGTGGCTCGATTTTCTTCCAACTTGCACCGACGCGGTGCGATCGAGCGGTAAATCAAACCCGTACCCTCGGCGTTGCGTCGCCGTGTCGCCGCGTCGTTTCGTTTTCTCAGAGCTGCTAGTATAACGCTAACGATCGACAGAATCGTCTTTATCGGTCAATAAACTCTTATCGCGGCCACGAACCAACGAGCGTCTCGAGCGCGAATCGATTCTCGACCGCGATCGAAACGAATGATTTTTTCGTAATTCGCGCGCAAAACGATGTATCGGTTAAAGGTACGACGGGGGAAACGAGAAATCACGCGAGAATCGCGATGCGCTCGGTAAACGGAGGTAAACGGAGGTAAACGGAGGTAAACGGAGGTAAACGGAGGTAAACGGAGGTAAACGGAGGTAAATGGAGGTAAACGGAGGTAAACGGAAGTAAACGGAAGTAAACGGAAAAGACACGAGCAAGGGAAAAGAGGAGACGAGTGGAGGGAGAGTGGAAAAGTGAGAAACGAGAGTGCGATCGATAGATCCCCTCGGAAGAGACGGGATCAACGACGGGCAGAGGCGAGAAGGGGGGACAAGAGAAAGACAAAGAGGGACGTAGCAGCCCCCAAGCCGTAAGTTCGATAGCAAAAATCCAAAGGGCGCGCGACTCGTGCCTGGGACGAATCGGTAAACAGAAAAAGATGTTCGTTTTCACGAAACTGTTAGCATAGGGCCAAAGAGGCGTCACATTGTTTCCTATCGTCGGTTTGTCTTTGCTTTCGGGTTTGTATCGCCCTACGTATACAAGCTTGAGAACTCGAAGCATCCCTCCGGCACGTAAATATTTTTGCGTACGGTAAACGGTACTATTGCAACGCTGCGACGACGCAACATCCGTGGATTACCGAAACTGTTCGCGACTCGCCTGCGCGCACGTATATTCATCCCCTCGACCGGCGAAACGATGGCGACACGATGGCGACACGATGGCGAAACGATGGCGAAACGATGGCGAAACGATCGCGAGAAACACTAACCTCGATAGTGGTCCGCTAGGCGAATGCGGTGCCGACGGTCCTTGCTCGTGTTCCTGATGATGGTGATGGGGCGCCGTGGCCGTGTGATGGGCGTACAGCGGTTCCATGTAAAGTTGATCCGAGACTCGATCCGCTTCTTGAGATAAACCGTGATTGGTCTGCACGGAAGACGGGGGCTGCATAGCTGTCAAATGAGCGTACGATTGTCTGGTTTGCGCGTGAGTGTGCTCGTTCGGGCTGTATCCACCATCCGTTTGCCCTTGATGATGCGACGGCGACGAAAGTCCTTGATCCTCGTGCGGACTACGACTGGAACTCGGCGAACTACCGGCATGCAGAGTCGGCGATCCTCCTCCACCGGCAACGTTACCATCACCGCCGTTACCGCCACTGCCACTGGCACCGCTCCCACCGTTACCACCGCCTCCACCACTCGCTCCCGTTCCTCCCGCGGCTCCGCTACCACCTCGGCCGCCGCCTCCTCCTCCTCCTCCTCCTGCTGACCCACCTCCACCTCCTCCCGCTGCCGCCGTTGCTGCTTCCACGGCTGCTGCAACCGCTACCGCAGCCGCTGCCGTGACACCTCCGCGTGCTCGTACCGGATGCTGAAGGTACCCCTCATCGGTTAACACTTCCTCCAAATGATGGTGATGTTGTTGACTCTGATGCTGGTGGTGATGCTGATGATGCTGATGATGGTGGCTATGATGCTCCGACGATCCAATCTCGTTGTTGGTTGCACCGTTCGATGTAGTTAGAGACGGGAACAACACACCCAGAGTAAAGTCACCCCGATCACCCCGCATGGCTGCAGCGACACTGCTCGCCCGTTCCACGTTTTCGTGCTCTACTTCT